TTTTGTCCAGTTCAAGCCCTCTCCTCTCACATCTTCTATCCCCCAAAATGTTTTATATGCCCAAGTTAGCCAGGCTCATTTCTTTTCTTCCCAACCATCTACACAGAAATCTGTTAGACGATAAGAGGAATATCTCAACATGACAAACTGCTTTAAACAAATATTTTAGTGGTATATAGTGTTGTACATAGGGTCACTATGAGTTGCAGGTGACTTGATGGCATGTAACAACAACAAGATATAGTGTTCAATGTGTTGCTAAACAAAAGGTCAATAGTTCAAATTCATCAGATGCTCTTCAAAACAAAAGATAGGCAACCACCACCCAAGAGGGTTTTGGGAGTCAGAATTGACTTGATGGCAGTGGCTTGGTGTTGCCATTTTAGTGTATGACTTAATGGACCCCACTGGAATATACCTTTCATGAGATACCTCTTTTCCCAAGGCAAGTTTAGTTATGGGAATTTAAGGATGACAAAAGATGAGACAAGGGCAAATCCAAGCATATAAAGGAAGACAGTGTGTAGCCCAGAGCAGGACTGGTAAGTATGTAGCATTTGTCCACAAAGCCTGTTTTTTGCACAGGTAATTGTTGCTGTTAGGTGCTGTTGAGCCAAGTATGACTCATAGTGACTCTATGAACCACAGGCATGAATCCTGTCCTATCCTGTGCCACCCCAACTATCTCTGAAATGCTCAATCTCATTGTTACAGTCACTGTTCAATCCACTCAGTTGAGAGTCTTCCTCTCTTTTGTCATCTCTCCACTTTCCCAAGCATGATATCCCTCTCCAAGGAATAGCTTCTCCTAGCAACATGTCCAAAGTATGTGAGATGAAACTTCATCTTTGCCTTTAAGGAGCACTGTGGCTGCACCTTCTCCAACATACATCTTAGAGGTAGTAGACATTGTAGTAGACAAGTCTTACCCACTGTCCTTTCAAATATATCCTGTGAAAGCTTGAAATTGATACTATCAGGCAGTGAAAATGAGCTCTATCTGCCATTCCTGTCTGGCTCTGTGGCAGCTGAGCTATTCTAAAAGTTCTAGTGTGCTCTCACTTTACCTGGTGCTTTTGGAAGAGCATTTCCCCTTCTTTTAAAGATGCTGTTTTGAGTGAAAACAGAAGTACCCAAAGACACTCCAGAGATTCCTCAACATAGTGTCGTTGTTTGGTATTGTTAATTGAGCCAACTATGCCTAATAGTGGCCCTGTCATGATCTCCACGTTGCTCAAGCTCGGTGTTGCTGTGACTGTGTTACAGTCACCATCCCACTGAAGAGCGTCCTCTCTCTCACTGGCCCTCTAGCATTCGCAGGATGATGCTTTTGCCAAGTACTCGTCCCTTCCAACAACATGCCCAACGTCGGTGAGAGAAACTCTCCTTGCCTCTTCAGGAGTATTCTGATTGCACTTTCTATAAGTCAGACGTGTTTATTCTTTTGGCAATCCATGACATATTCAAAACACAAACTGTGTCTTAAATACACACACTCATAGACCAATTATGAGATTAAATGTCTTTTTTTTTTACAAATATCACTAGTTGAATATCACTTAGAAGTAATGCCAAATTACTGCTGTTTCCAAAACGAACATCTGTTAGGAAAGACTCGACTTTGGAGCCATGCTACCTCTGGATCAATCTCTCTGCAGACACACTGCTAACTTTCTTCCCTTCCTCCCCTGGTTCTAGATTCTGGGATGCTTTTGTCTGTTCTGCATGGCTGTGAACACTATTCCTTTTATCCCTAGTGAGTTTCTCTTCCAGATGACCTAAGAGGCAGAATGAAATCTTTTGCCTGCCTTCGACTTTATTAGTGGTCCCTAAGCTCGGCTCTTTTTGAGTCATTTTCTTTAGTAAAAAGAAGTGAACTACAAGAGACAATATCCCTCTAACAGACTGTAAATGTCTTATGAAAGTATTCTCACCTCACCCCATTTCTATTGAGTCAGAACTAACTCCTAGTTGACCCTCCACTAAGTTTTCATGACTGTACCTCATTCAAGAGGAGATTATCCATCTTCTCCCACACAGCTGATGGATTCAAATACCACCTTTGAATCAGCAACACAATTCTCTGCAGTCTACAATACCAGAGCTCTAGAAACTGCCTTACTATGGAACCATGCCTTTGTTTTCCTGATACAGCCACTTTAATGTGAAAAAGAAAGCAAAAATTTTAAAAACTAAGCCGATGTCATCACGTCTTCTTACTTGGATTCTGTTGCTTCCAAGTGTGATGAGTGATCTGCTTGGTTTCAAGCCTCTACTCAGTGTATTCATTCATGATGATTCACTCAGAAGGTTTCAAATTTCCAGACCAGTTATGCAGTTCCATGCTTATAAGGCCACACATATGTCAGAATAATACCAGAAAGGCGTGTTTCCTTTTTGATCCCGTAAAGACATCAAACAATCAGATTACAAGCTCTGAAGGACAATCAGAGGGGAGACCCTGGAACATTTCACTGATGGCAGCACGACTAGGATTTCTAACTGGTGTCCAAGCAGACTCGATACAAGCTGATTTAAAAGTTCTGGCAATTTTGCTCTTAAATCAAAAGTAACATTAAACTATGTTCAGTCTTAATAGTTCTTTTTAGACAGCTCACAAAAAGAAATTAAGTAACTGTGTACTGTTTTAACTAAAAAATATGATTCAATGAAAAAACTTTTTAAAAATATTGGCAGAATATTAGTGTAATTCAATATATTAGAATGGTCTGGCTCCTTGCAGAACTGTCTAGTGTCCTCATATCAATGTTGCACAAAAGACTGTCAATTTCAAGCAGCCTAGCAGAAAATAAAAGACTTTTCTCTTAAAAGTAGAGGAGTTCCATAAAGCATTGGGAAGGGGGGTGGGGAGGACAAGGGGAGAAGGAGGGGACAGGGTAAGAGAAAACGGCAGTACATGATCAACTCAAAAAAGATGCTCAGGGATGCCTCCAATCCTATTTTTCTCAGTAAGTCACAATGAACAAAAAAAGAAGATAAATCACCATGAGAATTCAAGTGAGCTGGTAATAATAGCCTAGTTATAGCTGCCATGAAAGAGTCATTAAGTTAAATGCAATATAAATCTCACAGAGTTTTGTAAATCACGATGGTTCTTAGAGGCCAAATAAAGATAAACGGAATGAACTATGGCTGTCTTTCTTTTTGCTCTTTAGCATGGCTTTTACAATGCTTATGCTCAGACTCCAAATGTCATTGTTCCTGACACACCTAGGAGACTTCAAGTTCACAAGTCTATCCATCACTACTCTTCCACATATTTACTTAAATGACCTCTGGCCTTCTAAGCAGAGTCTTGGCCTGCTCTGGCTTACACTGAGGTCAGACAAGCTACTAGCACAAACCTCAAGCTTCAAGCTGTTCACATTTCCACAGCATCTTATCAAAGCAGTTGCTGGAGATGGGAACTGTTGGGGAGAGGGGGCAGTGGCTTCTTAATTTGCTGCTTGCAGCTCCAGTCAGCCACTTCCTGCTCTGAGGGGCCAGACGTGCTATGTCCTCTCTGCTTCCCTTGGTAGACCTGTCCGTTAGCAAATTCAGATACAAAGATTCTTTCTAAATATTCCTTCACTTCCTTTTCTGGAGGTTGGTGAAAATCCCTGGGTGATCTTTTGCTTAACTGCCTCCCCCTCCCCTACGATTTAAACTGAGTCCTTACCGCTCCAAATTAAATCCATTCTTTCTACCCGTCATAGCTAACTAATGGGAACAGTGCCTCTCTCCGCTCTTGTTGGCTGCACTTTGGGTGCTTATGGATGAGAATCAGACCCTTCTGTAGCCTACTTTCTTAGCTGCAGACTGCACAGGTGATAAAATGGGTTAATTGTTGCTATAAAAATATTTTCTATCCTCATAACGAAGTAATTTTTCCCTCCAAATCATTTTCATTTCCTAGAATTGCACTGTGTTCTTATGATCTTTGGTGAATGAGGGTAAAGTCTTATTGGGCATATGTATACTGGAAACACAATACACAATACACCAGATTACACCACCACTTGGTGATTTTACTCTCTTTGAATTTATCTTACTGCCCCTTCTTGTTATCGGTATTTATCATGCGATCTGCAGCTTTCCCCAATAACGCTTGTAGCCTAGGTCAGAGGAGGGCAAAGGATAGCCTGCAGTCTATTTGGGTCAAAAAAGTCTTACTAACATACAATCACAACCTGTTAACACATATTGTGGATGACTTCTTTCACCGTCTCGGCGCAACGCTGAATAGCTGCAGAGGAGACGACTCCTCTAACTCTACGTCATCAAGTTGAACTGACTCATAGCTGACGCTCCGCATCGCATAGAAGGAGATGCTCTGTTTTTTCCCATGGAGGAGCTGAGCTGGTGGATTCAAACCTCTGAAGAACCACTCACGGCTTTCGCATTAGCACCGTAACTCTGCATTATGCCACCAGAGCTCTCTAAACGAGATGACAGAACCCATCACCCCTAAAAGTTTGCTATCTGAGTCTTTGGGTGTGTGTGTGTGTGTATCAATGCTGAGCCTAAGAATTCATTAACATTCAAGGCGGTTTTGTTGCATCAGGTTAAAAGAAACCACCCTAGGTAAAGCTCTAATTTACACCTAAACAGTCAGCTAGACGCTTTACCAGAGGCCAATCTACACAGTTGGGAAGGGACAGATTTCTCTTCCTCTTCACATGCGGGAAACTGAAGGAAGAATTTTTATTTTGCCTCCCAGAGGCATTCTTTGCACTGCATGGTTTACATCTGAAACGGTCAGGATTAATACACACAGACAAGCCCTTAGATCGGGCTCATACCCATTTAGGAGACTTATATTAACACACACACTTGCTGTGCCGATCTACAATGTTCTGCTCCTGAAATCTCTCTGGCTCAGCAGTTCAGGGCCACAGGAAGGTAGGAGAATGCAGGCCGAGCCTGGTACTCACTATGTGAAGCTGCAGAAAGTCACCGAGGCCGGGGGCGCTGTCGATCCGCACCAAGATACCGTCCTTCACAGTGGTGCTGAAGCCCACGGCCAGGCGGTCCGAGCGGGTGCTGGGTCTGTCATTGGCTGGCCATGTATACAGGATGAGGCCTCCACTTTTCCCAAAGATGTATGTAGCGCCAGCTGCAAAAGATAAGAGAACGGGCACATCAGGATACTAGACTGTGGTATGTCATCTGTAGCCACAAGGCCAAGACTCTGCCCAGAACAAATGTACAGAGAAAACGGGGCCCACGTGACAGAGTTTAGTCACGGAGAGCAATGACATCCAAAACCTTGCAAGGCTGTTACCATCTCCTCAAATTAAAGATGAGGGTACAATGGGTCACAAACATAGCAGATGTTAGGGTGAGACATTCAAGCATCATCTGTTCTGCTGTAGAGAGAGGGTAAATACATGCTGTGCTTCAGATCTTTTGTACATGGTGATGAATAGTTTTTCAGACTTCCACATTAGCAGAATTCCTTTCGTATCACAGTGGGGATGGGTTTCAGATAGAAAACTGTCCTTGCTGTCTTGGTTACCAGTGTATCTTGTTTAGTGGAAGGAGGAGCAGGTCAAGGAATGTCTCCCATAAGTACAGGTGACATGAGGTCTACAGGTATCAGTTGTTTTATGCCTGTACCTACCACCTACCACCTCAGAAGAAGCAGCAGATGGTATGGGTCTACAGAAGAAAAAAAAAAGCTGTTGCCTGGCAAACTCAGAAGGTCTCAATACGGTCGCTTTAAAAGCAACACGTATAACAGTAAATGAATTTTTAAAAAATATATTTAACAAGGAAAAAAGTAACAAAAGTAATTAAAAAAAAAAAAAAGACCAACCAACCAGTTCTCATCAAGTCATTTTGACTCACAGTGACTCAGTGTGTCAGAGTAGTATTCCATAGGGTTTGTGATGGTTTATGCTTTAGAAGTAGACCATCAAGCCTTTCTTTCAGAGCATCTCTGGGTAGATTCAAACCACACACCTTTGGGATACCAACTGAGTATGTTAATCATTTGCACAATTGAGTCTTTTAAAAGCAAAATGGATTTCTCCCCTCCCCAGAGTGGTAATGTTTACCTACACCACAATCCCAAAGGCATGTGTTTCAAATCCACCAATTGGTCCACTGGAGAAAGACGGGCTATCTCCTTCCAGTGTGGCTCACCACCGCTGAAAACCTGCTGGACGAGCCAGTTCCAACAGAACAGCAAAGAATAGAACAACAAAAAATCCATGTGCACCTGCTTTTTCAAACTAATTTTAAAAGACCAAGAAGCAGGGGGAAAGTTTCAAAATAATGATGTTTTAAATTATGACAAATTTCCCTGTTATAAATATAAGCCTGGAGTTAATAGCATATTAATTTTGAAATATAAAATAAATGGAAAGAGATAGTTGCATAGCTTAAATTTGAAAAAAGAACATATAACTGTACTTTAAAGTTCAATCTGAATTTAGTAAAAAAGCATTTAGATTGTGTAGTCAGAATAGGTTCAAAATTGGGAAGGGCATATGCCAGGGATGTGTCCTGTCTCCATACCTTTTTAACCTGTATGCAAAACAGATTATCCGAGAGGCTGGGCTCTGTGAGGAGAAGTGTGGCATTAGGATTAGTGGAAGATCTATCAATAATCTGTGTTATGCAGATGACACAACCCTGCTTGCTGAAACTGAGGAGGACCTGAAGCCCTTGATGCTGAGGGTCAAGGACTGCAGCCTTCAATATGGATTGAGGCTCAATGTCAAGAAGACAAAGATTCTCACCATTGGGCCAATTGGCAGTATCAGGATGGATGGTGAAAAGATTGAGATTGTTCACAGCTTTAGTCTGCTTGGCTCCACAATCAACACTCTTCTCGCCAGTAGCCGGGAAATTAAAAGACATATTGCCATGGGAAAGTCTGCTGTTAGGGACCTCGCCAAAGTACTGAAGAGCAATGGTGTCACTTTGGAGACTAAGGTGTGCCTGATACAGGCTATGGTCTTTGCAATCACTTGTTATGCAACAGAGAGTTGGATAATGACTAGGAAAGATAGAAGGAGAATTGATGCCTTTGAGCTGTGGTGCTGGAGAAGAGTACTAAACATACCATGGACTGCCAAGAAAACAGAGTCATCCTGGAGAGGGTTAAACCAGTCTGCTCCTTGGAGGCAAGGATTCTGGGGCTTTGTATGACATACTTTGGGCATGTTGTAAGGAGAGACCGGTTCTTGGAGAAGGATATCATGCTTGGGAGGGTGGAGGGACAGTGAAGGAGGGGAAGGCCCTCTATGAGGTGGATTGATTCAGTGACTGGGGTGATCGGGATGGGTGTGTCAGAGACAGTGCGATTGGCACAGGACAGAGCAGAGTTTAGGGCTCTTGTACATATGGTTGCTATGAGTCACTTGACAGCACATAACAACAACAACAACAACAACAGTCAGAAGAGATGATGCCATGGTCGCCTCTATGGTTTTGTGTAGTCAGAATAGACTATGCTGTTGTAGACTCTATGGTTTTACATATGTTATCCATATAATCCGTTGATTCAGTGACTGCAGCAATGGACTCAAGTGTGTCAGAAATGATGAAGATGTTACAGGATAGGACAGGGTTCAGATCTGTTGTCCACAGGTCACTATGAGTTGTACTTGACTCAACAGCACCTAACACCACCACCATAGTAAGTACTTCCACACATTGCTCATTTCAAAGTTTTAAGAACATTTAGTACTAGATTTTTTTGGTATGTTTTCCACTGAATATCCTCCAACACTTGGAACTATTTTAAAGCAACATTCGATACCAGCAAACACTCATGTATGTGTACCATCTACTATAAATCTCAAATGTTGCTAGTTTACAAAGAATATTGCATGAAATTTCATTGAAGGAAAAATAAATGACTTATGCTCCTCATTTAGAAAGAAAAATCTGCTGAGAATTAGGAATATATGCCATCTGCCAGCCATTTTTGAGCAGCGTTGTTGTTGATTACCGTTGAGTTGGAACTGACCCATAGCTGACCCTCCAACAAGTTTTCAGAAACAATAAATCACACTGGAGGAAACTATCCATCTTCTTCCTGTGGAGTAAATGGTGGGTTCAAAATCAAGCCTTTGAAGTTGCAGCATGGCCTTTACCACGAGGCCACCAGAGCTCCCTAAGCATTTTAAGCGTTAGACCTCATTATATTCTTATAACAGAATTGAATGTGTTCTCTTTGAAAGGTCACTATTCTATTTACTCTAAAATATTCAGTTTGTATATTACAACAACTTATACCAATGCACATCCCTCTAGGTCGTATAGCCCTGGTGTACAAGTTGCCATATTGCAGTCACTTGTGGTTGCTGTGAGGCTGAACACTGTGACACTGATGTGTCAACTGAATTAATGGTTGGTTACCAAATGCAGACAGAGAGTGGGGTGTTGCTCCCCGATTAAAACAAGCTTGGAAGCAGGAGTGGCATCCACTTCCATAATAGCTTGCTTCCAGAAATCCTATGAACCTGGAGAGAGGATGAAAGGCACCCAAGCGTCGAGGACTCTCCTCGCTGTGCCACTTGACGGCACTCAACAACAATTACAACATACCAATCCATGCAGGTATTGTTTATATAAATATCTTAATCTTAGTGGATGATTCCTGGAAAGCCAATATACTCCTCCATACTCATCTGTAGACTTTGAGATTAGGTATGGAAAATTTATGATTAATCAACGTTCATTTCTCACTATCCATAAACACTCTCAAAGTGACTTAAAATTAGAAATGTGAATATAATGATTTACCCTTAACATCTTTCTCTTTGTCATGAATTTAAGTCAGCCCTTTTCCTAGGGTATACTCTCTTTATTCCTTACCTGAAAACCTGAAGGTTAATCAGTGATTTACATATAAGACTCCCCCCAAAATGCAAATCAAGCTGTCATTTTGTGGCAATTTATAAACTATTACCCCTTCTTAGAATATATCCTAAAAAGAGAATAGATTCTTCTAAAAATCAACTTATACTACAGCATTCAATAATTTTGTCACTACAAAATGATCAGTCAAAAAATTAAGAGCAAATTTTATGCATGACATTTCCTATTTTCCAAAGCCTTCTCAAATTCGTTTGCTCAATCTTCACAACAATTCTACGTGAGGTTTTACTGGATAACCGTACTCTATGTATTCACAAACAAAGACTCAAACATCTGACTTAAAAAGTGGCACTGCCTTTGAGTATCCAGCCTGACCAACCTGCCGGCAGCAGATTGTTTTGCTCCAAACAAAACAAAATTTAATATAATTATCTAATACATAACATCAATAAACTATTTCAGTGATGGAGTGATGGCCACATTTGATTCTTTTCATATCTTCTTTTAAGATCAATGCAGAACAAAAACCAAATTAAAGTCCCCCAAATCTAGCATGGTTTCAAAAGCTACTCTGGCTTAGCGACCATAAAAATCACTTTGAAAACCTACTGTGCTTTCATTTTTCACACTTCTCTGTTTAGTAATTCTCAGAGATCCAACATGAAAGTCAAAAGAGTTTTAAAGATGTATATACACCGTCACGGTAACTTCCATTTTTAAATAAATACCCAAAACTCCCTGTGACAAACTGAACAGGAAGAAATGGATATAAAAATCTGATTTGACAAATGTATTTTATTGCATTAGCTTCTCCAGATGCAGTATACCACTGGGTTTACATGATTTGAAATGCACAGGTCGTAGAGGAATAAAAGACACAGAATAGTGGGCATGTAGCTTGTTCTGCTATATAAATACTAACACATCAGTTCCAGGTATTGAATTTTCTAGTCATGGTGAATCTTTCTCATTGTCGTCTAATTGGAATCAACTTGTAGCTGAACCTCCACTGGGTTGCCGAGGCTGTAAATCTCCTGGAGAAGATTGTCCATCTTTCTCTCTCAGAGCCCGTGGTGGATTTTACCTTCAAGGGAGATTCAGCCCTTGGGTTAGCTGTGCAAACTCCCTAATGGTCATACTGCCAAAATCAAATGGTGCATAGATAACAAGGACCTTGAAAAGTCCCGTAGCTTGATGTTCGGCTTCAAAACAAGTTAACAAGCTCAAGATTCTCCTCTAAGAACTTTTTACTATTTTTCTTTTTATTTCTTATTATTGTTA